CGACTCAACAATACCTGTCTCTCTCTCTGTCCGCAGTTCAATTAACCATTGTTACCGTCACGTCTCGACCGTCTTATATGCATGACGTGTTACTAGTGTCATGTGACCTCCGTTGTCGTAACATTATTGTTGGCAATTATTTACACGTAACTAGGCGTTGGGTTTACATAGAACGTTATATAATGTTGTTGTAGGTAATTATTAGATCGTCAAGATATTAAAGCCGCTTTTTTAAGATAAAAAACCTGAACATTTTATATATCAAAACAAAACATTTAGTAACTGAAATAGTCTCCACTCTTATCGATGATGCTTTATCATCTTACAATCAAGTTGTTAATATCCTGATTAAAGAAATCATTTCGCTTTGAAGCAAAAAACATGTTGATGTCCTCTTTAACACCTTCCAAATTTGCATACGTTTTCCCATTAAGATGGTGTTGCAGCGAACGAAAAAGATGGTAATCTAATTGTGCCATATCTGGAGAATATGGTGGGTGGGAGAAAACTTCCCAACCCAACTCCATAATCTTGTGTTGCATCAAATGTGCTACATGTAGACGTGCATTGTCGTGGAGAAGAACACCTTTCCGAGTGAAGGGCGTTTCTGATGAAGGGCTTGATTTAAACGTTCCAGTTGCTGACTATAGATCTCTGCATTGATAGTTCCCTGTGGATTGAAGAGTTCAAAATGAATCACTCCTTTGATGTCCCACCAAATGCAAAGCATCACTCTCTGCGGATGGAATCCAGGTTTTGGGGTCGGAAGTGGTTTTTATCTAGGACCGAGCCATTGTTTTTGGCGTTTAATATTCGCATAGAGAATACATTTTCCATCATCGGTGATAATTCTGTCCAAAAATGGTTCACGCGCATTACGCGCCAGAAGAAACGAAGCAACATTACGTTGGAAACGATGATCAGAGAGTTCGTGAGGCACCCAAACACCTTCTTTATGGAGTTTTCCATATTCCTTAGACGTTTACATATTGTTTCATGAGGGACATGCAATTTCACGGCCATTTCACGAGTATGTTGTCTTGGGTTAGACTCAACAAGCATCTTCAGAGCATCAATATCACTTCCAACATATCAGCCCCTGCCATCACAGTTTTTATGGCTAAAATTGTTTCCCTTCTTGTATTCAAACAGCATTATATGCCGAACATATTGTTACGTCTCTGGTCGTTGGTTAATTTTCCGTAAACATTTTTTACGAAGAAACTTTAGCGATACAAGTCCTTTCTTAAATAAAACTGGTTTATTCCTTCTGAATACAACTTTGCAATACACTTAATTTCCACAGTCACGCTATAATTCACAACGAACGACTCACGTGCTCGACTCAGTTGTCTGTCTCTCTCTGTCTGCAGTTCAATTACATTGTTGCCGTCACTTCTTGGTCGTCTTATATACAAGAATACCGCATATCTAGTAAACACTCGAGGCTTCAGGAAGGGACATGAACGTTCTAGAAGCTCATGAGGTGTTACCAGAGTCACGTGACTTCCGCTGTCGTAACAATATGTCTCGTCATGTGCCATCACTATTAGTGATTAAAGTATAATAAACTTTACACATTACATAGGCTACACTAACGTGACGTCTAGGCGGTTCGTTTAACTATTATACATGATGTACGTTTTTTTTTGGGGGGGGGGGTTAATGAAAGTGTTTAAAAAGGCGACATTAATTTCTTGACGACCTAATATTTACATCTATATTAGTTGGCACATGAGCTTCATATAGAATATTTCTAATCTTGTTGTCGGTAATTATTCAAGTTTCACCTGTGGTCATAACTAGTGGTTATACACTGTCTTTTCTCAAAACCGTTTTCTTCTCACTGCTAACCCGTCATTAAACTGATTTTCATTTGGCGAGAGTTTCGCATTTTTTGTTTTATCGTACATGTACTTGGTTTCATTTTAATTAAAGCCTGTGATTGGCAGTTAGTTTAAAACGTTTGTTTGATATCATATGGTTAGTTAATTTGTTTGTTTATAGCAAAGTTACTAAAGTGTTCCTAATTTTGAACTGTATTCTTTACCAACGAATAGTGGGATTGACCGTGATTTTAGAACGCTCTACGGCTGAAAGGGCGAGCATGGTGAGCATTATGTTTCGATTCTGTTACCAGGTGATTGCAAGTCGAGCGCCCTATCCACCAGGCTCATATAATTAGCCTTATTATTATTAGTAGTAGTAGTAACAGGAACGTGCCTACATATACTTGCTTTTATTTCTTGACAATATTTCTTTGTAGTCTGATAACTGGAACTTTTTCATCCTCACTATGAATCAAGTCCGTAGCCAGGTCTGGAAGTGTGTGTGTGTGTGTGTGTGTGGGTGGGGTGGGGGTCTTTTTGGTCCAAAGAGGAACTCGTTTCATGCGTAACTTTAGTCCGGGGACGAAAAGAAATTTTCCGAAATATGTAATGGTTGCTTTATTATAACTGAAAATAAACATTTCTAGTAAATTTTCTCTGATAAATATGAAAATGCTATTTCCGCATGTATGCACAGTGTTACAAAAGCAATTATATAATGATAGGCTATCATCAAAGAAAGGAAAAAAAAAAAAGTTATAGGGGGATTTGAATGGGGGGGGGGGGGGGGGGGGGGGG